ATGACAGACAACTTCTTGATGCATTTTTAATGTTTACGGACTCATGACTAATTACGAATGTAATTTTAATTTTTACGTGTTGGCACATATTAATAACGATAAATGAAAAAAAATTTAAAAAATCTCATATCAAAATTCACCCGCAGATTGTGCTTCTTCCTCTTCCCCACATGTCGTGCTCCAATTGCACAAACTGTCGCCTAACAAAGGAAGAAAATCAGGAATTGAACGTATTTACGGAAATAAAATGTTTTATTACTACGGATCTACGCGGCCCCTCTTGAAATTTTCACCGACACAGGTGGCTCAGGGCATCAATTGATGTCGTGAGCCACCTTCGCGGGAGGGGAATTGATGTCCTACAGTTCGAGTACCAACGCTGGCAGGATTTTCGACACTAGCTAGACAGCTGGTTCGAATCCAACCGCTCAATGGAGGAGAATTCTAGCGGCGCAGGCAGCTCAGATCGGTAGTTTTCCGTTTCGCCGATCAATACCAAGCGAATGTCGGAGCAGTACCTAACAAACAGGCCTAGGACCGCGCGCGATCTTTCCTTCCTCTTCATTGCCCTATCCTCACCCCTTACTTACACACAGCGCGCACTAAACTACCACACTTGTTGGGTGCTGAGAACAGGTTTAGAGCTTGTTCCGGCTGGGGCGGTGCCCTGCTGGTGGGAGATACGTTGGGGAAAATTTCCACAACCCGACGTTTTAGGTCAGCGCTAGAAATACCCATCCAGCGGGGAATATCACCGACACTTCCCGCGATAAAATAATGAACTGCACTTTTGACTAATGACCGTAGCAGTTGATGTACTAATGACCCCCTTATCGATCACCGCGAGAGATGGTTCAGGGCATCAGCTGATGTCACTGCACTCCCTCTGACCGGGGGGTCCATAAGTTCGAGTCCCGATGGTGGCAGGATTTTCGACACTTGCCTGTTAACTTTTTCGAATTCGTGGCTGTCTGGAAGGGAATTCTAGATGATTGCTCTGATCGGTGGTTTTCCGTAGGTTCTCCGATCAACACCAGTCGATTACCGGAGCAGTACCCTAACAAACGAGCCACGGACCGCGCGCGATCTTTCCTTCCTCTTCCTTGTCCTATCCTCACACACGTACACTAACATGCACTACATTACCACATATGCCGGGAGACGGGTCGGGAGCTTAGAGCTTGTTCCGGCTGAGGTGTCCAGCTGGTAGGAGATACCTAGTTGAAGAAAACCTCGCCAGCCGACGGTAGGTCGGCGCCGGATCTCGCCATACAGCGGGGAAAACCACCACCACCACCACGCGAGAGAAACATACACTATAGTTACGAGACTAATGGCCATATTAGTTGACGCGCCCAAAACCACTAATCAATAAATTTACCTGAGAGGTTGCAATGCAACAATAGAACACCGAGACACGACAGTTTGAAATTCTTAGAATAACTTCTCATTGTTGTGTGGAGCTTATGATTGTTTGAAAAGGAGTTTTGCATAGTCGAATGTGTTGATAACTTTAAATGAATTAAGATTTCGCGCTTAATGCACTACGATTGTATTTTACAGGATGCCTGTGTCAATACGAACAGAAATTGCTATATGATAACTTTTTTGTATTCCAGTACTAAAAACGACCTTTTACGTTACAGGAAATTGTTCATGAAATGACATCTTACTTTTCAGATTATGAGATTGTGATGTATTTGAAGATTATGGCACAAATAATTGCGACATCACACATTTAGCCAATCGCAGCGAGAATATGGCGGGATAGCGGTAACCCGACCGAACGCTCGGCCACTGTTTTTGCGCATAGATGTCGAATGCCCGTGATGTCACAATAATATATATATATATATAAAAAAAAAAAAAAAAAAAAACCAAACTATTCTTTTTATGGGTATTGCAGAAAGTTGTTATAAAAAATAAAAACGTATGCAACTCATTTATAATGTTGCTTTGTTGCATTCATACTAATTTGAAAATTCGCTTGTTGTCAAAACGTTCTCGTGCAATACAGCTTAACATTATAAACAAGTTGCATAATGTACTATTACGTGACCGTTAGTCGCGAGAAAGTATGTGCTGTTGTAGCACAACTCGTTAATGGACACTAAATAATGACCTACTTTACGTGCCGATAGCAACACGCCGAATACGCCTTTTTAATGCAGTTGTAGAAAAAACAATATTTTGTGTTGTTTATGCATATAATTTTTAGGAAAAGGAACACGCAACTGTGCAAAATCCGCAGTCTAAACTAAGATTTAACCATGCATTTGAAGTAAATCAGCTACTGCGATTTCATCCGGAATTTTATGCGATTTCATCCTTTCAATCGGGAGCTTATATTTCGCTACAGTGCCGTCACTACGGGGACGTTCAAGCTCCCGATTGGATGAAACCATTCTTTACTTCAAATGCATGGTTAAATAAATTCTAGTTTAGTGATCATCTTCAATTCCCTCTTACATGCACTAGCCAGCGGTGTCGCTAGCCGAATTGTTTAAAAATGGACCCTGAAGTCACGATGTTAAGCAATTGAAAGCCCGGTTTCCTGAATGGGTAACGTCTGGGAACCTCGGGATTTAAAAAAAATTGTAACGTTTAATCTGAGACATACAAGCTATTACTCACGCACTCCCCAACGCTATTATAATAATGGAGGAAATGTACCTTTATACGAAACTATTTATCGGCAATGACAATCTAAAACATAAATATCGCATATCTGATTTTGCAAATAAGCAACTCTAGTACAAATAGATATAAGACTTGCATTGAGATGTTTTGTAAACAATTTGATCTCAAAGATACTGTCAAAAGTCCGCCACTATAAATGTTGGTATGTACTACCAAAATTGACACGTAAAATATGTTTCGACAAATAAACCATTCCAAATGTCACATCCGTCATAGAAGTAATAGTTAGAGATATTTGAGACACAAATGTCGCTTTATCTTGCATTTCACCTTTTCGTTGACCAGAATACCATGTAATGGTTACATTTTCGTTTTCGTCACGTTATTTTCCGTAATTCCTTTTGACCAATGAGAAAAACATTTATCAACTATACCAATATGAACATGGCGATACACTAGGGAAGATTGTGAATTGAAAGATCAAAGCCCAAAGTGTCTAATGTCGGATTATATATGTGGGCGTGACATAAAATGAATAAGTATTTCATATTTGATTATGTAGTTTGGGAAATTCATACGTTTGGTAGCTTCCGGAGTTGATACAGTGCTATACTGAGAAACACTTGGCAGGTCGTCGCCAATGGTTATTTGACAAGATGAAATCAAATTAATGAATGTGAGCATGGGTGTGTTGGGATGTGTATTTTAGAACAAATGGATTTTTAGTGAACATTTGCAATCGCGATGAAATTGAAAGTGAAATTGAGACAGAGACATTTTAGATGCATACCATTTTTACTACTTCTTCTCACACATTTGTGGTGTATTGAATTGTCTCTTGGTCAAATGAATGATTCTAATTCAGTGGGAAAAGATGAATGGATACATTGTTGTAATGATTCTACTCCAGTGCAAATGGTCAAAGTTAAATTCACCTCACATGTTGTTAGAAATGGTGAGATGAAAAGCATTTTGTAGCACAAGATAACCAAGATACATGCTATTTTCATTGCATTAAGTATTCTTGTTGCAGAGTATATAGTGGCCTTTGATGGATATTACAAAACAAATACAAGGGAAAAATTTATAACTGCTGCTTTAAATGGCTCTGGTGTTGATCATTGGAAAATATTGGCTCGAAATAACCCTGCTAGCGACTTTCCCAGCGATTTTGATGTTGTTTTGGTAACAACAAAGATACATTTAATTATTTGATTTTCACTTACAAACATTTAATTAACCAAGTACATATTCCCTTTTAAAATGTTATAGTTGGAAGAAACAGAAAAACTGAATGGATTAAACGCACTTAGTGATCACCCTTGCATACGAAGGGTTACTCCACAACGTGTTGTACATCGATCCTTGAAATATGTCAACATCTCTGAAACCAAGTCCGATTGTGTAGGAAGTGAATGCTCTTATCACGTCTGGCAGTCATCGCGACCTCTCCGGAGATCCAGTTTGGCAATAGTGAGTACATGTGTAATTGACACAGCAACCAATATATTTTCTTCAGTTCATTAACATATTTTTAAATCCTTTTATGTTGTAGAATATTTATAATTGGAAATACAGTCTAATTTTGTAGATGTTCTGAAAGATAATGATTATAAAGAATGATGAGTAGAAGTCAGAATTTGCAATTTAAACCTCTTGTGCATCTGTACTTATTATAACTTGTTACAAGACAAAATTTTTCTATTAGTGTGTGTATCTTAATGGCACAAATTAGGTTGAGAAATTAATATCTAAATTCAGTAAAGTGATGTCCTTTGGTATTGATTTTTTATAATATTTATATAAAGAGTCCTGAGAATGGTTGGAATGCAGCTGAAAAGTGTTCAATAAAAAGTAAGTTTTAATGAAAAGTCAGTTGAGTGATAACATTAATTGACCTTGTATGTTATCCTTGTAAGCAAGTATTCTCAAAACCATGCTTTGACTGGGAGTTGGTAGTTTTTGGTAAGTGACATAGTTGGTACTTCTGATTTTGAATCACTAGATCAGCGAAGAATTGAATCGGTGAGTTCTTGGTATAATTAAATTCTGATAACTTGCCAATTGTGTTCAAGTCGATCAATACTCAAAGAAGCCAACGGACACTATATCCAAATATTTGAAGCACTAATGAGGATTAGAAGGCCAGTGTGACACTGAGGATTCTTTAACTCTACTTAAATTTATTTCAGACTTTAATAAATTTCAGAAATAGATAATGTATACAATTTTCACAGGTAGGTCTATGGAACCTGCTGGAAAAACACTACAATTTACACAAGTTGCAATTAAGGGTATTAGTACAATATAATTTTAAACTATTAAAAAAATATTATTATTATTATTATTATTATTATTATTATTATTATTATTATTATAGCAATAACTATATTTTTATGGCTGTTATATACAGATATTTTAAACTATTAAACATGTGACTTTTAACTACTCTGCACTTGCTCCACTTCACAACACTATCTTGCACTTCACTTCTAAATCCTTTTAAATGTAAATTTATATAAGGGTCCCATCAGACAATCCCATACTTCATTAATGGACAAATAAGAGATAAGTAAGCTAATTCTTTTGCTTTCACAGTACAATTTTTGAGTATCTGCGTAGTAAAATGCAAAGACGTGCAGACTATTGCATGACAAAGTTATGATTTTCCCAATCCAGTGTGCTGTCATAACTAATATAACTTGATATTTTATTCATTCCTCTGCAAATATTGATTCTTTAAAAAATAAATTGTCTGGCAGGTCATTCACAAAAGTGAGGAACAGATGTCCAATGACACTTCGTTGAGAGATGTCTGAAGTAACCTTTGTTGCAGATGAAAACTGTTGTCCAACACAAACTTTTTGTTTCCTGTCTCTAAGAAGTTCATTAATCCATGCCACACCTTTGGTATCAATATCTGAATGCAGTAATTTCTGAACCAGTTATCATGTGGGATGACATCTAATGCCTTGGCCAAGTCTTTTATTACGGCATCCACTCTCCCACCAACTTCATTCTGAAACTATTATGCCATCTGACTCTTGCAAGAAAAAGTGCTCTTAAAACGTGCCTGAATTATTTTTGTTCCCATTCTTGTTTATTATAGTAATCAAATGTTCCATTAGCTTACATACAACTAACATAAGACTTACTGGTCTATAATGGTTCTGTCACCATCCTTCACATATGTACAATAGTACCTTGATTCTAACCTTCAGGTGCGCTTGAATTGTTGATGGTACATGAAATAATCTTCTTGGAAATGATAAAATTGCCTCTCCACTTAGTTTAATTCTATTGGTTGAAATCACATCTGGTCCTCATGCCTTTCCATTTTTCATAAATTTTATTGATTTCGGCATTGTGTTTATATCTATATTAAACTGATTTGGTACTGATTCCCTTGATGTCTGAGTGTGGTGAGATTTTGTTTTGAAAATGGAATTGAAGTAGATGTTAAAAGCCTTTTTGTATGTTAACGTGATGTTAATTCTATCCTATGCTATATTTTAAAGTATAACAAATAATGAAAATTAATTCTAAAAGAAATTGCACTTGTATTTGCAAGATACTTCTCTCTTGTTCAGATAAATGGAAATCATTTGCAGAGTACAACCTTGTTTATTTTCAGAAAAGAACTGTTAATACTTTCAATTGATATATCTTCAAAAAATATTGACATATTGACAAACCTGTAAACTGATGTTAAAATATTTGCCTCTATTAACTAAAAACTAGACTGTATTGAATGGTTTTGATTAATGTTTTAGAATAACCAATTCTGGCAATCACCTGGAAGACACACAAGTCGTCGTCTGCTAAGAGCAGCTGTTCCTCGACAAATTACAACTATATTGCAAGCAGATGCATTGTGGAGTATGGGTATTACAGGTGAGTGGGTAACAGTTTTATTTATTTAATACAAATTGTATTGGGGTGGATGTTAATGTTGTGGTTATCTTGAAATGAAGAATGTAAGATAAAAGTGTATCATGTTGATGGAAGCTGTTTCAGCCCTGTTGCGGCCATATTCATTATCTCATGTGCGTTTAACACATTCATGTCAGCTTTTTCTGCCATTGTACGATATTCCTCTCAGATTTAAATGCCTTGACCTACCATCTTTCTTCAGTACTTCGATTAAAAAAATATGGTAAAACTAGGAATGAAATTCCAACATAAAATTGCATTTCACACCAGAATAAACCATAAATTGAAAATGTTACATACATTCTGCCTAGAATTCCATGTTCAGTAGCCAACCCAAACACACTTGCATGTCTAAGACGTCAAAAGATGGTAATGCCATTCTTCAACTTCAGGGAGTTGTCAAAAGATACGAATGGGTTAAGGCATTGGTAAAAAAGTCTAGCCTTATTTACTGCAATAATATGAATTACATAATTATGGAATTCTCAAATATTTTAATTTCAGGTACTGGAGTTAAAGTAGCAGTTTTTGATACTGGTTTAGCAAAAACACATCCTCATTTTAAGAAAATCAAAGAACGAACTAATTGGACAAATGAAAAGACACTTGATGATGGTCTTGGTCATGGGACATTTGTTGCTGGTGTGATTGCTTCAAGCCAAGAGTGCTTGGGTTTTGCTCCTGATGCTGAATTACATGTTTTTAGAGTTTTTACCAATAATCAGGTAAATATCCACATTTAACTTTTCATACCATCTCAGACAGTACTCATGGTGTGGTCTGATACTGTGTTATGTTCAGGAACAATCGTTTTGGTTTTAAGTTGTAATAAATTTGTTTTGTGAAGATACAGAAGTATCCTGACTGAAGATTGTCAAACACTTTAACGACTATTCCTCTTTCCTCCGAAAGTTTATTATATTCCCCAATTTTCCTAATCATTGGGTTTTACTTACTGGCATGTGTGGCATAGTAATAGTTACTTAAAGCTGTAAACATCAATGTGTTTTTGCAAAAACATACAGTTTGGTGCCCCTCATAACAAAAAAGTTTGTTTTTTCTTCATTTCTTATCTTTTCTTTTCTGTTCTTGTTCCAAAATGGAGTAGAACACAATTATGGGCAAAACACAAGTGTAGAAACTATACACAGTATTTTCATAAAAATGGGTTTGCATTGTTTTCCGTCCACAACACAAAGCCCTCGCGCACAGGCGGGTGGTCGCTCCCTCCGGAAGCAGCCGCCTCCAAAGGGAGGGAGCGACCACCCACCTTTGCTCGAGGGCTTTGTGTTGTGGACGGAATACACTGATCAATTTGGCTGATGTCAAATTTAAAACATCTTCTAGGGGTTACCTTACATTTGCAAGGTCATTTTCAAAATTTTCTCAAAAATGACTGTAAATGTTTTCTCCTCTACTCCCCATTTATCAAAGGCAGTGTAATTTGATTAGTATTGGAGTGAATTATTTACGATTAAAAGAGGGAAATTATAAACTTATACTTCAGTACTGTTACAGCATGAATATAATCATTTGTGATTGACATGATCTGTATTCATCTCATCTGACATTATCTGTGTTCATGAGAAAAATTAATTTAAAAAGCTGTTAAAATGTTGTTTGTTCTTGTTGATTGATCTTCTAATAGAATGATCACTTAACCGAAGCAACCAATTAATTGTGGTGGCCGCTTAATAGATGCGGCCTCTTTAATAGAGGTGACACCTCAAAAGGGCAACCCCTTAAGAGGTGGACGCATAATTGACGCGGCTGCTTATTTGAGGTGATCACTTAATTGAGTATACTGCATAATTTAGGTGATTGCTTAATGGAGATGTCTGCATAAATGAGATGCCTGCTTAATGGATTCACCACTTTATTGAGATAGCGGTTTGACAGGATTCATTGTATATCTGTATTACTTAGTTTCCATTCCTTGAGTCAAATGTCTTTTGTATTAGGGCAAAATTTTGTGATAAGCGAGTTCTTGGTTATGAGGGTTTACTGTATCTAAATGAAATAAATATATAGCGTAAAAGGTGGTGTTTTTATCAGCTGTAATACATGTGAAATGTGGCGTATTCAGATTCATGAAATTTTTGAAATTGTTTTGTTTTATAAATGCAGTGGGCAATAATTTTTCAATGTTTTTATCAAGTTTTTGCTTTGTTCTGAAATATATTTTTATAAAAATTTCAGGTGTCTTACACTTCTTGGTTTTTGGATGCTTTTAATTATGCTATTTTGAAGAAAATTGGTGTTTTGAATTTGAGTATTGGTGGACCTGACTTCATGGACCATCCTTTTGTTGATAAAGTGTGGGAATTAACAGCTAATAAAGTAATCATGGTATCAGCTATTGGAAATGATGGACCACTTTATGGGTAAGTATTAATAATATTAAATAAAGTTATTATAAAGCATATTTAAATAGATTAATTTCTTTATATTTTGGTATTCATATATATAGTTGTATAGTCAATTTTTAAAGTTTTGATGTACTTAACTTGGCATAGAAAGTTAATTTCTTGTACTATTTTTCAGGACATTAAATAACCCTGCGGATCAAATGGATGTTATTGGAGTAGGAGGAATAAATTTTGAAGATCAGATAGCAAAATTTTCTTCCAGAGGCATGACAACTTGGGAATTACCTCAAGGGTAGGAATGATATAAGAAATTACTCGGAGAAATTAACATTGAATAGTCTGAATTTAGAATGCGTATTGTGGAAAAAACTCTCTTATGAATGATAATTGGTGATTTCAAAAAGGGTGGCAAATCACACAAGTTAGTTGTGTGCTTGATTTGACTAAACCATCCCCCTCTCCTGTCTTTGCTATTCGTCATCCCTGTCTGACACTGCTACCCATTCTCCTTGCCTGACACTGCTATCCGTTCTCCCTGTCTGTAAGCAAAATCTGTCCTACCTGCATGACACTGCGTTCTGTCCTCCTTGCCTGTCACCAGTACCTATCCACCCTGCTTGATACCACTAACTGTCCTCCCTGCTTGCTACCTGTCATCCCTGGCTGTCATTACTACCTGTTGGTTACTGTTGCCACTCCACGTCCCTGGCTGTTGTTGCTACCCATCATCCCTGGTTGTTGTTGGTGCCTGTTGTCCCTGGCTGTCATTGCTAATATCACAGTGGCATATTTAAACATTTTTATACTTTTGCAAGAAGAATGTTTCTTATATTTCATGTGTGATGATTCTCTCTTGTATGGTTTCAGTGGTTTTACTTTGATCTGTCTGTCTCAGCAAAGATACTAATTCTCAATTGTTCAAAAAAATCACTTACATCCACTTAATGCAAAATACTATTTGTTATTTTTTACAATTTTTTTTTTCAAATTTATTCAATAATGTATTTTTTTGGAATTTCGTAGGTATGGGCGAGTGAAACCTGATATAGTTACATATGGTTCTGCTGTGCGTGGTTCTAGTATCAAGGGTAGCTGTCGAACTTTGTCTGGCACTAGTGTTGCCTCGCCTGTTGTGGCTGGAGCAGTTACTCTTCTTGCAAGGTTACAAAACCATTACAATCTGAAACATATATGTGATTTTTATATAGAGAATGAATACCAGAATCTCCTCATTTTTCGATTATTAATTGGCCCTTGATTTCTAAACTTTGACTGAAATTATACCTGCATATTGTGTGGACATACTGTTTTCTTAAATCTGAATTATTCTATAATATGACCTAAATGATAGTGCCGTTACTTTTAAAAAACCTCCACAAAATATGAATAACAATAATTTAGTACTAAAAATTTAACTTAAAACTAGGCTGTGTGTTAAACCCTAAGTGTGTTGTATTCTAATGAATACAGTATATTCTGTTTTATAGTTCTCTAATATTTAATTTTTAATTACTTACTCCATAAAGTAACATGAATTCATTGAAAATGTATTTCGTATCTTGGGATTTTCATCTCTTTTTGTCCTACTCCAGTCTCTTCTCTAGCGAGATTGTTTCATGTGTTACACTTAGTTTTAAAATGTGAGAAAATCTTTCAGGATTGCTACAATCTTGAAATAAATGTTCTAACAAACAATGTTTTACCTGTCATTTTTCCCTTGAGGTAACGCTAGAACTATAAAAAATTATATTCAGAATTTATTTTTAATATTTATTTTGTTTTCTCATTCTTAGTGGTGTATTGCATCGTGGTAATGCAATTAACCCTGCCAGTATGAAGCAAGCTCTTATGGCATCTGCGAGGCGATTACCTGGAGTCAATATGTTTGAACAAGGTCATGGCAAGTTGGATCTCCTGAAAGCATATCAGATTCTCAATAGTTACAAACCTCAAGCTAGTCTAAGTCCCAGGTAGACTTTATTATTTGTTGCAAGTTTAGACGTATTCAATTTTTGCATATGCATTTTTGTTTGATTTATTACTATATTTTTGGTATTTCTTTACTTTTCAGTTATATTGATTTAACAGAGTGTCAGTATATGTGGCCATACTGCACACAATCCCTGTATTATGGAGCAATGCCTACCATTGTGAATGTAACAATTTTAAATGGACTTGGAGTGTCAGGGCATATTGTTGGAAAACCCACATGGCATCCTTACACTCCCCAGTTTGGCCAGTATTTGGATGTAGCGCTTACTCACTCGGAACTGCTATGGCCTTGGTCTGGATGGCTGGCTGTGAGCATTGCTGCTGCACGGACTGCTGCTTCTTGGGAGGGCATAGCTCAGGGTCATATAGCCCTTACAATTGAGTCCCCTCCGGAAGATGGGGAAACAGACCCGCGCCGCTCATCTGTGAAATTAGCTGTAAAGGCAAAAATTATTCCAACACCTCCCAAACAGTAAGTGAAAACAGCTTTTTAGTATAAGATGATGAAGAAGGCTGATTATAGTCCTTCAAAAAATGTGCATGTGCTTTTTATTTTATTCGAACTGTTTTCATTTATCGGTATACTTTGTTGATGTGAAGATGATTGTAATATTTGTAGCTCTGTTCAATTTTGAGCAGTTGTGTAGTGGCTTGACTGTGTATAGACTATATTGGGGAAAATTTATTTAGGATGGTTTACCCATTGTGCTGTAAGGTGTGTATTAGGCTCCACTAGATCCACAATAATGGTGGTTTTAGTTATTTTCCATCAAAATAACTTGTTTATGAAACTGTCACTCCAATCAACTCTTTGCTTTTGTTAGGTTGTTGTCATCTGCTCTTTGTATGATTGGGAGATCGATCACTATTCATTAATGAGTGTTTCATTTGTCATAGAAGTAAACAAGATTTTCTTCTGAAAATGGGTATTAACTTAAATGAACAATGATTCTAAATAAGAAACATCAACATGCGGCAAATGTGAGAAATGCTGACGAGTGTTATGTGCAAGCAAAAAATATATCCCTAAAAGTTACCTGTGGTCTGACGTCTGTGTTAATTATGGTTTGAGATGGTAGTATTAACAATTTTGTCAAGGTTTCAACAGTTAATAAAGGTTTATATTGAACAAAAAACTAAAATGTACCGCAATTATGAAAGTTTATTAAATTTCTAAACCGTAATTACTAAGTACAAAACTAATTACTAATTACAAAATATTGTTAATTCCTTATCTGAAACAACACCAGGTCATTCATCCCTAAATTCATTTTCTCAAGTAGATAGGGAATGACAGTTTATGTAAAATGCTTAATGTGTTTTTCTGTAAATGCTAAATCAATGTATTCCATGTTTTCTTAATTAAGTATGAATTACAGTGATGATTATAAGAGTTGGAAAGGTAAAAATTTTTGTTGTAATGAACGTCTTACCAACGCTTTTCTTTCACATTGTCTTTATCATCCTCTTCTCCAGCACTATTCTTGAAGTTCTATTCTAGTGAAGCACTATTCTAAAACTTCAACTTCACGAACTGTGCTATTTTTTCATTCAATGCTTTTTCTGAACACTCCACTTAATTAGTAAGTTAAATTAAACAACTAAATGCAAGTTTGTGAAAAATGTATGCAAATTGCCAACAACATTGGCAAACTTATCACCGCCCTATCCAAAAGAATGGCTTGAATGTTGGCAGAATCTACAGAAGTAGTCATTTTCTTTTTTTGTTGCAGTTAAATTTAAAAATATTGTTTTTCATATAATCACAAGTGTGCATATTCTTAATTGTATGAAGGTTGGCAATGGCTTTTGCTAACACACAATGAAATTAAACTACCCTAAATTTATGAATACATGCTCTCAATTAACAGTGACGTTTTTCAAAACTTGTCATGATAGCTTGTTGTTTTAGCTTGCCAGCACAAAAAGGCTTGCACCAATGCCACTGGCACCTATATTTGCCCTCGCGTTCATATGTTTGGTCTGGAGGGTGGAAAGGGGACAAATGATAGTTTCGAACACATATCACAAGGCTATGTCTACACCTTCAGTGGTATTGGAATTTGTGGACTTCCCCCACTAAGCTCCAGGTACTTCCACTTCCACTTCCTTTAATACTCATTAATATATCTTCTACTCATTCACCAGTAGCCCACCAGAAGCAATTGTAAATCACAGTCTCAGTATTGTGTACTGCTGATCACAAGGTCCTAAGAAGCAAGTGCTAAAAAAGAAACATACTGCGATGTATGCAATTCTGCTCCTGGCAGGTATCAGCGGTTGGCAGTTTCATCCAATTACAAGTTTGAATGTCATCATTGTGGCATCACTACGGTGACGTTAAAGCTCCCGATTGGATGAAACCGTTAACAGCTGATACCTGCCAGGAACAGAGTTGCGAAAATCGCATTTAGTGCAGTTCTAAAACAAAAATATTTATGACATCCAGGCACCATTACTATAAATAGTAAGTACCTTTCACTTTCTCCCATACTACATATGTAATATAGAGAAATTTATGCAATGCTGTGATGCGAAACAGCAATTTTTTGACAGAAAAAATTGTAGATCTTAGACACAAAGACGGTGGATAATTCCCTGTTCCTATATGTACAGGGTTGTTGCGCTCCTGGAATACCTGGAATAGGCAGGAATTTTTTTGTCTCTGGAAAAAACAGGAAAAGAACAAAGTTACATGGGATTTTTTACGTTAACCTTCCATCACTTGCGCTGTAGGATTTTGTCCGACACTTTTGCCTTTTTGAGTGGTCTTTCTTTCTGATGTGAGGTTTTTGCTTCTTGTCTCATGTCTTCTCTCACGGCCAACAAGATATGAAGTGTGGATTTTCAGTGAACAAGGAGTGTGTCATTGATAACATGACGGAAAAAATGTTAGAGATTCAATGTCATGTCAGGGATAAGGGCTCAGAGCCAAGGAGGAATGGACATAATTGAAATTACAAAATACATGATCCAATATGTGAGAAACGCTTGTAGCCAATATAGATACGAGCTTGAAGAAATGAAAAACGAAAAATGCCGTAAGAATGGGTAGAGAGCTTAAGAGAAAGGTAAAAGAAAGATGGAAGTGAACGAGGAAAAAGGGGATTTGCGACTGAATAAGCAAATGTAGAAGATGAAATTCGCAAGGCGATGAGTGTTTTGAATAAATCATAGTTTTGTTGTAGTTTAGAGGGATTAATGTTAAGTAATTATACTTTTATTACTATCAAGTAATTATTGTTAATTTAGTTAGTGTGATATTACATAAACTGTGATTAAAAAAGTTATTGTATTGTTTCTGTGAAATTGTTCATATATGTGTGTAAATTCTCATAAATATGTCTTTAAATCATTTGAAAATACTTTCTGTGATATTTGAAATGAACTGGAAAACAAAATTTTTGGGTATTAAAAACTTGTAAAAGGCATGGAATTTCAAAATTTTCAAAGCACAGCAACCCTGATGTAGCAAATTACTTCCTGTAACACGTTGAGTATTTTTTAATTTTTTTAAAACATCTCTCCCATCATTAGTAATTACATTACCGGCGATATGTATACATAATCTAATTTGTAAGTACAATGTTTCAAATAATGTATTACAAAGTTCTTCAAAACTTAATTCTTTTCTTTCAGAATTTTGAGCTCAATTTTAATTTTCAGCAACACTTAAGACATTTTCTCCAAAACTGCTCCACATTTAAAAAAAAAAACTTTTTATGTGGATAGTGCTAAATACAGTGAATACAAAATGACATTAGTGCCATTTTGATTTCTTCTTTTAATTCTTTTAATATTTCAGATATGTATGGTTTTTTGAAATATTTCTCACATTATTTATTATCACATTATTATTTACAATACGGTTATTTTCTTAATGTTATTGCATTTGAATTCAAGTGATTCATATGATACCTGAGGATGTTTTTTAAAACTGTTCTGTGAAATTGAGCTCATAATTGTGCATTTGCAGTACATTGTGATATGCCCATTATTCATAAAATTTATTCAAGAATAGCTCCAAATTTTGAATGAAAATTTGCAGAAAATTTACAATATTTCTAGAATCCTTGTCCCACATGTAAATTTACACAATCCATTTATAGATTATTATTGCAATTGTATTTCAATTTCCTCAGGAATTCTGATTCTTAAGTCAGTGAGAACATATAATTATATTTTCTTTTTGTACAAAGTAATTCATGACAAAATATTGACTGTCCTATACTGCAGAATCAATTGATGTTTTGAGTTCCAACTACACCATCTATAAGTTACCATCCTTTTGCTATATTGTTTATCTGTGTACATGGCGAACAACCCAGTCGCCAGATAGTGTTACTACATTATTGATCTGAGTGTTAGACTTGTATATATATAAGCCTACCAATTTTCTTAAAACTGAACGTGTAGAGTTTTCTTG